GATTGGTGTGGATGACTGACACACAAGAAGAACAAAAAAATAAATAATCAAATCCCAGGCTTTGCGATTTGATAATTGCATCATTTCCAATTGCGATTTCAATTTAAAATCGATTAATCGTTCAGCCCTAGCCTAAACATAGAATATAATCTGTGTTTTCAAATAAAACTGCATAATTCTGTACATGGTTTCATTAAGTGAAATGATCCTACAGTACCGGTACATCCTGCTTGTTGGCTAGCACGAGGAGCGGGACACCTTCCAACGCCTCATTGCTGATCATTTTCTCTGCAGAAGACAAGAGTCACATCATCGATTTCACATTAAGCTAACATAACACACTAAACCATGTTATGAAGTCAAGTGACGATAAACATTCTGCACTACAACAAGCCTCTAAACTACAATGTTGTTATTTGAATGGAATAAAGTCACAGGCCATTTGATTTGAAAATATAATAGACATAACTCACCAAAGGCCTCTTTTGACTCTGACAGGCGCTCTTCATCAGTTGAGTCTATCACATAGATGACTCCATGGGATTCAGCATAATACTACATATAAAACATGACAAATATAAACAGAACATTAGAAACAAACAAAGAGTAACCAACACTTCAACTAAATAATACAAGTGAAGGTACCATTTGATACAACTGCTGAAGGTGTAGCTAGAAGCTGCCACAGTCAGGAACGTCTGATATACCAGGATGTAATACTTCATGTTACGAGTGTATTTAGAAATGTACATTCATCTATGGCAGGGGTGCCCAATACGTCGATCGCAAAGGTAGTGTGGGTAGATCGCATGGCATTGAGAAAAAAAATATATATATATATATATTTATTTTAATTTTAAAGTTAGCCTATCATCCATCTTTACTATGGCATTTGCCACTTTATTGACGTACAGGTAAGCCAGGGTGAGTAGTATTGTGCCATACGGGTTCATGCAGTTAAGAGGGGGCCTCACTTCCTCATCTGAAGTGCAAATGCTTTATGATAACAGTTTATCCGCCGTTTAGTCCACTAGCACCCCCCCGCTCGCGACACAGATTGGGCATGGGCGGACCTATAGGTAGATCATTTGGGCGTGGTCATTTTAAAAGTAGCTCCCAAACAGAAAAAGTGTGGGCACCCCTGATCTATGTTGTTGGTGTTGCATTCTTCACTCACTTTGTCCCACAGAGACTGGAGCTCGTCCTGACCTCCAAGATCCCAAAACATTAGACGTGCCTTGCCCACATCAATAGTACCAACTGTGAACGAAAGTGAAACAAGTATAAAAATAAGAACTGTAGATCAGTGGGAGGAATCAACCAAAACAAGTAGTCTGAAGAGTTACAGAGTGAAGTGGAATGAGTTTAGAAAGCAGGTATGCATAACATGACTATGTTCACAAGTAACAATAAGCTTAGTAAATTACAATTCACGTTTTCCGTTAGCCTTTGAAACAACAATAAGATTCACAATATGAAGTGTGATTGGCTTTTGCCTCAAGTCGTCATTGTGCATTCCTCTGACAAGGTGCTCAAAGGAACCATGTTACTGGATTTGAGAAGAGATGGGCTAATTGTCAATTCACTGGCATTTCAGAAAAGTATTCCACCCTGGGCAGTCAAGCACAAATAAAGACATACTGGAACATCCACTTACTGTTCAGGCCAACCGTGGTAGTGATCTTTGATAAATTCATTCCCTTATAGTTCTTACTGAACTTGGTTTTGGTCTGTTCCAGAAAGGTCTGCAAAGAGAGACAACTGTCAACTTAACAGACAATAACATATGTATATCCAGTGATTCACATGCCATGACATAGGCTAAACAGGCATATTATTACATTACTTATTTCATTATTACATAGCAGAAGAAAACAGTCGTCGAAGCAGCATAGTGATGAGTGCAGCACAATGCAGAACATAACAATACAGTCAATGAAGACCAACGAGTTAGCGTTTACCCAGCTGTAGGCCTACTACAGAGAAACATCCCATTTACCGTTTTCCCAGCGTTGTCTAGTCCCAGGATTAAAACACAGAATTCGTCCTTTTGAAAAACATACTTATATAACCCAGATAATAAGGTATACATCTTGATAGAAATATGTAAACAATACAACTACTTGCTAACTAGTCTTGGTGATATTAGCTTGATAGCATAGCCTAGCCTTCATATGAGGGTAAACGCAGCGTCACGCGCCACTGTGGCTTCATTATCATAACAGTTAATAATATGTCTATAAACACGACTAAACAATAGTCGAAGATACATAAATAAAGCCGTAAGAGTCTTCGTTTGTAGTTATTTTTGTATCTGAAGCTCTCTAACGGCACTGAAGCTACGTGGAATCTAACCAGGAAGTACAATACCTATAGGAATTGTGGGAAATCTTCTTCTTCTTCTGTCAGGTTTATTGGCGGTTGGCAAACCAACTTGTAGGTGCATTACCGCCACCAACTGGACTGGAGTGTGGATAAGAGCCTAAGCAGAAAACAAGAAACAAAAGAAACAAAACAAAGAACCAAAACTCTAGATTATTTTAAATGTATCAATTTCTCTTAGAAACTTAATAATCTCACAATATATATTGCCTGATGTTTTCCCTAACAGTCCTGATAGCGACAAGTCATGGAATTTTGCTTTCTTCAGTGTCTGGAAAAACACATTTCTCTGAGTACTATATTTCCTGCAAAGCAGTAAAACATGCTCAACAGTTTCTGGCTGGCTACAGTGTATACACTTTCCGGTTGGATGCTTTCCTATTATACTTAATGTATGATTGAGACCTGTATGACCTATTCTTATCCGAGAAATGACATTTTCCTCCCTTCTTTTAAACCCCACCTTCCTTCCATCCCCCACATACCTTTGAATTTTATGAAGATGTCTTCCTGTATCACTAAGGTCCCAATGATCTTGCCATGTTGTTTGTGCATATTTCTGTATGAATGTTTTAACCTCCGCTTTGCTGAGTGGAACTTCTATGTCTATGTTCATACTTCTGAGTGTTTGTTTGGCCAGAATATCCACCTGTTCATTACCCTTTACACCAACATGAGCAGGAACCCAGATGAAATGAGTTGCTATGCCTTTGATTTGCATTTTATATAAAATTAGATATATTTCATTTATTATGTCCATTCTAAATGAAGATCTACCTGATCGTATAGTCGATAATGCTG